ACATAAGTTGTTTTAATAAACAGCTTTTTGTTAAAAACGGCAACTTTTTAATCCAAGAGAAACAAGTGAACTAGTTTAATGTACATTTAAACGGTTATTTAAAAAAAAAAAAAAAAAATTATGAACCGAATCTAGCTTGCCTACATAAACATGTAATACACCACAGCAGGTTGTCATGTCATGATGACACAGAAGAATCGCTAAATTGTTTTTGGTGAAACTGGTTATTTTAAATGAACCAGTTTGAAGGAACTAGTTCATAAAAATGAGTCTCTCTTCACATGACTAAATACTAGGCTTATTATAATTAAAGATACTGTTTGCACTACAAGCAATACAATCGTGACTTTGACAACCCATTCATCCATTTAGAACATTAATAAGATTGTTCTAGGTTTGTCACGTCGCTCATTATGTTTTGATTTGTTTGCACTGTACATTGTCCAATGTAATTGATCATATAATTAGAGCTAACAGGAATCCATTGCATTGTTGTATTGCATTAAAATGTGTTCTCATGATTTGTATTTTCTTGTAGATTTCATATGGGCAAAGCAGGGCCCAGTAAACATCTTAACGCTGCTGGGTCTATGGGGGGCTAGCTACCCAATAATTTTGCCCGACGGCTCAGGGAGCACACTTTTGAAAACAAACCACCTGCATTTTACACTAGAAAACCATACTGGAGAAACTACAAAGGGGGCCCGGTAGTTCTTATTCATTTATATTATTTAAACAAAACCTCCAGAAGCAATTAAATTTAAGTGGAAACAGATTTATTTTGGCGACATATTTGGAGCATTGCCAGAAACCCAAAGTAATTGTTATGCTTAATGATAGCACATTTAAACAGACAGATTTATGACAGAAGAAATCCAAAACACCACAGGCCTCACATTATTCAACAACTCTTGCAATAAGGCTGCTATGCTTGAGGTTATACAGGCATATTGAGGAGCCTGAGTTGTAGCTATAATTTGATCACAGACAAAATAACCTTGTGTGTCCCTTCATTTTGGGTGCGGCCAGTTAACTGAAGGTTGTGAGATTTTCCTGCTATTGTATTTAAATAACAGATGCTCAAAGATAAGAACCGCTCGCTGTGAGAGTGTTCATTGTGTAATCCAAGACATGTGGAGGTGTCATGTATGTACAATATAGAAATACTAATCTAGCAAACTAAAATCAATAAGATACTTTGTCAACATGTGTACAGCATAGACTCTAGAAACTCTAACCTAGATCTTAGATAAGGATGGAATGCATGCGTTTGGAAAACAGAACTGTACTAGACTTATCCAGAAGGAGAGATTGAAATCAGGGAATATAGGAATTTTGGAGTTGTAAAACCTGAGGATGTCTACTGACCGACCAGTAGGGCTGAACGATTTCGGAAAATAATCTAATTGCGATTTTTTTTTACCAATATTGCGAACATAAAGCACTGACAAATAAGCCTGGTGTAAACATTAATATGAAAGTCAGTAACAAATCACACAAACTAAATTAGATTGCAGGAATATAAAAACAAATCTGTTGCTTCACACAACTTTAGGTAATTCAAAGTCACTGTAATAAACATATGTAAACATGTGTACTGCACTAAACACTGTCTGTTAACTTTAGAACAGTGGTTCTCAAACTTTTTTGGTCGCGCCCCCCTTTAAACCTATAAAAAAATCTTCCCGAATACCCATCCCACCTCAGACTACCAAATACTTTCACTAAACATTATGAAAAATTAATGCTTTTTTAATTTAAAAAAGCTACAGGGAAAAAAAAAACCTATGAAACTCACTCAACTCACTATGAAAAATAGCATAGTGAGAATAACTGTTATTATTATTATTATTCTCTCTGTTATTTATTTATTTTTTGTGGGTTTCATGCT